AAATGTGGGTGAGTGTTAAACCTCAGATTTATCAAATGTAATGTTTTTGTTTTGATCTTTATGAGAGGAGTTTGGTTAAAATGGTAAGTAAGCATTGGGAATTTCGGACTGAACAGTTTTGTAACATGCAGTCATTGCATAATTTCCATATGTGGAATTGCAGTCATCTATAAAGATGATGATGTCAAACTTAAAGGGTTAGTTCACCGAAAAATGAAAATTCTGTTGTTAATTACTCACCCTCATGTCGTTTTAAACCCGTAAGACCTTCGTTCATCTTCGGAACACAAATTAAGATATTTTTTGATGGAATCTGAGAGCTGTCTGACCCTGCATAGACAGCAACGCAACTGAAATGTTCCCAAGTCCAGAAACGTAGCAAGGAGATTGATAAAATAATTAATGTGACATCAGTGGTTCATCCTCAATTATACAAAGCTTTTTATAAAAAAGTATTCTTGTAGCTTCGTATTATTGCGGTTGAACCACTGATGTCACATGGATTATTTTACAGATCTCCTTGCTACGTTTCTGGACTTGGGAACATTTCAGTTGCGTTGCTGTTTATGCAGGGTCAGACAGCTCTCAGATTCCATCACAAATATCTTAATTTGTGTTTCGAAGATGAACGAAGGTCTTATGTGTTTGGAACGACATGAGGGTGAGTAATTAATGACATAATTTTCATTTTTGGGTGAACTATCCCTCTAAAGTCTTAACGGATGAATTGGCATTAGCACTAGAGATGATGCTCAGTGTTGCATCTCTTGCTTTGTTCCAACTGAATCCTGTTTAAACCCAATTAGCTGCTTATTGACTGACGTTTGTGTATGATATAATGTAAACACCATCCGTCTTTCTCTTTAAAATACTGTCTTGTTTCATATTGGGGAAAATACTTTGTAAATAATGTGGGAATATTGTGTTGGTTGTACTGTATATGGAGAATGAGGTGTTTTCTCTGATCAGCAGTAAAGCATGAAGGTCTTTAGAGTTCAATGATTCCAATATGACCGTCACATGCTTTGCTGTATGACATTTTGTTGAGTGTTTTGACCTCTTTGTCTAAGTTTGCAGATTTTTCCAAATATCACAAAGTGCAGCAAAATTTGGACTGGAAGTGATTCTTTCTTACCTATATCATAATTTCTCATTTCATCAAGCTTTTTATGAAGCATACTTTTCCTCCTTGCCAGTTATAAACCCCACTCTGTTCATTTATATCCTTCATCATCTGAATATTTTAAAGGGTTCAAACAAAGAGCCAGAGTGCTCTTTTTGCTGCAGGTAAAGCTCAGCTCCTTTATTTACTTACTCTACAATTAATTTATTTGTTTGTTTGGCTAAACCTTTTGTGACATGGGGGAAGGCCCCTAGAGATCATGACCTAGAGCAGTTATGCTTGCACATGAGTTACCACATGAGGTAAAGTGCCTGCATGACTGGCATTGCGTGAGTATTTTTTTTTTATTCACTTGTAATTTGCCGGTCACTTCTTGTGGTCATAGTCTATTTTTGCTTCAATTCTCTCGACTTATTTTATTCAATTTATTTATATAGTGCCCCAGTAAAGAATCCGTATTTAATAAATAGATGCCTTTAAAGAACCTTTAACATCCATGAAAACTTTCCATGGCACAAAAGGTTTTTTATGGTGGAAAAAAGTATTTTGATTATTAAAATGCTCTTCACAAAATGGTTCTTTAGTGGAAATGTTCACTGAAAAGTTCTTTTTGGAACCTTTATTTTTGTCTTTCTTCCCATATTTATTTGGCATATTTCATCTTAACTGCTCTTAACCTAGATCTCCTCTCCCTTTCTTCTTATTTCACGATCCTCTGTTGATTTGGTTTCCCAATCCCATTAAGGTTTTCAATTGGATTGCAGCACAGCCCCTCATAGCCGACTGGCTGAGCCTCTAAAGCCAGCTTTGTTTTAAGCGCTCTGCTGAGGGAACTCCAGCAATACACACAACACGCTTAAAGAGCAGCGAGATATATAGAAACATAACAGAGAGGATGTAGTCCAGTTGTCGATTATGTGAAGATCGCCTGAGGAAATACTCAGAGAGCAGTGACTCCGTATAGGCAGATGGAAGTGCACAGTCTGTGTCCTGCTGGTGTTTGCCCTCATTTCATAATCTTCTCATCCTAATGCAAATTCCACAATAATTGAAGAGCATAAACGTTATTCATGTTTTATTTTTTTGCCATTCTCATTTTTGGCCCAGTTTTCGTTCTTTGAATGTCCAACCATAGCTGGTATCTGTGCTGGAGCAGATGGGGAGGAATAAGAGTATTAGGGTTAAGTGATCTCCCTCTCCACCATCCATCCACAGCCTCAGCGCTGAAACAATGATATCAGCGCTCTACAGAAACTACCTCTATTGTATTCTTATCTGAACTATTTCACTGTAGAAATTATATTCCGATTCATTCGCCAGTGACGTAAAAAATAAAACAATTAGATAATTTAAACACTTTTGTTTGTTTTTCAGATGTTATCCGACCATGAAAATTCATAAGGTTCAGTTGTCACACAAAATTAATATCCCTCATTTAGTACACTGCAAGACATTTACTACAGCGCCATCTGCTGAGTTTATAGAGAAAACTAATAAGTAGTTATGAATTTATATTTGTTTTATTCATGTTTTTATGTATTTAACTATAGATTAATTTATTTAATCATTTATATACACGTTAATTGATTTATTAATTATTTGTTAATTGACCAGTAAACAATTGATCAAAACAAAAAAACTTTGCTTGAAAGAAATCGTATTCTGTCAGGACAAAGAAGCCAAATTAACAAACAGGATGAGATTATATATATTAGAAATATATAGAAATATATATTTGCTCTCTCTCTCTCTCTCTCTCTCTCTATATATATATATATAGCAATTAATTTTGTGATTTGAAAATAGAGAAAAGCTGTGTAGGATTTCTAATTATAATCGAAAAAAATCTCAAAACATTTTTTCCAGAGCACTATATGTACTGGCAGTCATACATTTGTATTTCGGGACTGGTGTCTGAGCAGTATTTTACCAGATTCTATATTTACAAAAGAGTGAATAACAACCAAACAAATTTCACAATAAAATATAATTTATTGTCAGATCAACAATAAAATATAATTTTTTGGCAGTACATTGAGCTCATTAAAACTAAACTGTTAAAAGAACATTTCCAGAACCATTTCATGTCCTACTTTCTGTTGTTTTCGGCTTACATCTTATGTTTCATCATACGAAACAAGCATCTGCAAAAAATATGTCCCATTTAAAAATTAGTTTAAGCCTGCAGCAACATTACATAATCATCAGTCTGCATCCAGTTTTAATCGAGCTGGTAGTTCATCTAGGCTCTGTAATCTATGCTGTGGGGGAACATCAAGGTGCCCATGACAGTCTTGTCTGTCAAGCAGGTAACCTCGAATACCCAATGAGCGTGAGATCAGGTAGTCGTTCACATAATGGTCCCCAACATGAACTACACTGGAGGCTGGAACACCACACCGCACCAGCGCCTGGGTAAAAATGCCAGGGTCTGGTTTAGCAACCCCAGCTTCTTCTGAGGTCAGGAGAAATGAGAAGTGAGTGAGAAGGCTACATCCCCTCAGGATCCCTTCCAAACGCTTGTCAAAGTTGGAAACAACACCTTGCTTGAGTCCCAAAGCGGTGCAGAACATCAGAGTTCTATTAGAATCAGGAAACACCTGATGGTGACACAATAAAATTAGTGTAAATTACTTGAGCATAACCGTATGTACTTGCCTACATTCAAGCTATTTCAGCTTGTCATTTTAGAGGATAATCGATAACTGGCAATAGAGATTTAATGAACGAGCGCCCCCTACAGGGGATTCTGGTAATTGGTAATAATAACAGCTGAAAATGCTGAGTTTGAAGAATAGCTTTTTAATTTTAAGGGCTAAATATCTGAAAAGTAAAATACCCCTTACCTCCCAGTTTTCTGGTCCACTAAAGTTATGATAGAGGTTGTTGGCTAGTCTATCCAGTAAAGCAGGGTCATCTACACCACACTGGGCAAAAGAACTGGCTGTTCATGCCCTGAGCTCTGCCATAGTTGGGAAATAGGCGAGATATCGTCCGGTAAGCCTGTCTGAAAGCAGTTTCTACCTGTGCAGCTGGCAGCTTTATTCCTGCTCGCTCTGCTTCGCTGCAGTACTGCTCTCCAACCGAGCGCCGGACCTTTAACAGAGTGTCCTTCACATCCCATAATACCCAACGCACCGGCCCTCGCATCACCAATACGGCTGAAAACCTACACGCCTATGCTCTGATAATACAAACTGCACACATAACCTAGATGGCAACGTAGTGTTAGAAAGCAAGGTAACAGAAGGTAAACGGACTGGTTACTACTAGATTACTAGTTGTTTTGCTCTAGGGGCGCCTGTCGGCTCAAAAAGCAGAATCCCACATAAGACCGCATTTAAATAAATAAACTTTTGAACCCTAAAACCAGTAATCTTTTGAAATAAAATAATTGAAAAGATTCTGAAATAAATTGCAAATTCGCGCCAGCAAAGCCTCATCCACAGTTGACCTATCCTGAGAAGCGATGAGAAAAGCAAGTACCATGTGAGGAGGTGCTGCTTCAGCAGGGTTCTGAACAATTATTTAGTTTTAGTTTATTGTTTTATTTTGAAATGCATTCCAGTGTATACGGTTTATGTACTGTACAAACTACAAAAATAACTTATGTACATGTAAGAGCATTGTTTTACTGTAAAATGAAATTTAATTTCTTATTAAAATATTGGTCCTTTCTCAGTACAGCACAAACAGTCCACATCTGAATGAGTGAACCAGAGTGAAAATGATAAGACACTGACAAAAATGTAGTACAAGTTAATGTGTCTGATGGCACTCAATGTGTATGTTCAAAGAGGGCAGTCTCAATCCATAAAACACAGCCTAATTTTCATTTTTGGGTGAACTAACCCTTTAATTTGTATAAAAACTTCATGTTTAATATTTGTCTTGTGTCTCTTTGTTTGCCTGAATGTTTCGTCAAATAGCCTACTTTAATTTACATTGTTATAATGTTTAATTTTTTATTGCATAATTCTATCAAATTATTTTTTGAAATATTAAAGCCATAGATTGCGCTGGCCAATGTTTTACTGATGCTGCTGCATGCATGCAGGTATGTGTCACTATCAAAATCAAATGGATGCGACTGTAAATGTGGTATTCGTAGTGACCCACGATAGATTAATTCTGTAATTATTTCACTATTAAAGTGAGGACATCTGGCCCTCACAAATATAGGTAAAACATTAACACATACACAGCCTAAATATTATCAATGATGACACTGATAACTTAACAGAAATGCAGTTTTAAATATGCAAAATGATTGTATAACAAATTTCTAAATTAGAGTGAACAAATAAATACATCTCAGGAATCAAATCATCCTAACTGAGGCAGTTGATTCATTTAACAAGGTTTTGTTCTCCCCTCACTCATTGTCACAGGTGTCTCTCTGTCCACAACTGCATCAGAAGTAGAGCTTGAGAATTCATCTTGATTTATTTGCTCAGACTGTCCAGTTTGACTTCTGATTTGCTCTTGGACCTCTGCGCTTGAGTTCATTTGGCCAGCAGTCTGCCTGTACATTCCAGATTTTCTGATTCTGCGGGTAGTCTTGTGAAAGTGAGCAATGACTTGTATAATGCTGTCAGCAGTCCAGTGTTGTCAGGTGAGTGTATTCTCTACTTTGAATGGACCATCTCGTGTACGACGCACTCCAGAACAGACCGCACAAGTCTGCAGCTCTAGTCCTACCTCATGAATCAATTTACGCAGATATTTCTGAGTCTCATTCACACACTGGACCTCTGGTTTGAAGTGAGGAAAAGAAATTTGAAAGAACAGTGATTACTGGCCTTACAAGTAAGACAAACATACAAGTATACGTACTTAACATATAATTTAGTGTACTAACCCAATGAGAAATGTGGTGGATTGAAATGTATGCAACGCAGACCCGTCAGAATCGGTGGGCTTTTACCATGAGGATACAATAAACCCCTCACTGCAAGCTTGTAAGCCTCCTGAGTGCGCAGATCCACCTGAGAATACCTGAATAGACAGAATAACATACTGAGAGACATGCTATGCATTAACCAAATGTTTACACATAGTCTGACAGTATGAAATGTAATATGTAAAATAATATTCTTATAGCGACTCACGTAATTAAGGCTTTCTGGTTGGCTCCCTGTGTCATTGTAAGAACTCTCTCTAGCTTATCCTGGGTAACGTGGTCTAGACAATAAAGACACAAAGTTTACTACAATTCGTTAGTCTGTATTCTATACATAACAAATATGATAGTTAGGATATTGTAATGTACAAATTACCATATGTAGTTTTTTCTATGACTCAGCCTGTGGCAGTGAAATTATCAGTGGCTTTTCCAAACTCCCCCTCAAGCATGTAGTCCTTCATATATAAAATAAACACAACAATAGTCTGCATAAAATTGTCTACTACACATCTGCTCAAGAGTTCTGATTTGTTCATTTCTTACTATGGATTCAGAATCAATTAGTGGAAAATATATAGGCAGTCAAATAAACAAATAAATAATGGAATAGCAGTTTAATGTGAGTAATTATTACATAATATAACATAAAATATAACAAACTTTTACCCTGGTTACATGTGATTTGCACAGATGCTCTAGCACTCCATTTCCTTTCCCAATACCTAAAACTGAGATAGAGACATGAGAGGATTGAGCACAGAGCACATCCTACAATAAATCACTTGAAAACTCAAGAGTTTATATTTTTTGATTACCCAACACCCCAGAGGAAAAAGCATCCAATCGATGACCAACTCCGACGTGAACCTTATGAAACTGCGGCCCGGTCACTTCAGAGAAATTCATTAGTTTCATTGATTTATAGTTATGCATCAATCAGAAGGGTTGCATATATATATATATATATATATATATATATATATATATACACAG